CACTGTCAAAACAAAAGAGCTTGCACATTCTACGAAATTAGCTTATTCTTTACTGGTTTAAAAAACAGAAATTCTGTCTCATGATTAAAGTAAAAAAAAATGATACTATAGCACATTAAATATACAGTACACAGATAACAGTTATACCCACGCTTTCTGCTAAATACATCTACCAATGTTACATATTTAGACTTGTGCAGTCTATTTACAGCAAATACCAGTCTAGAGCACCATCTAGCGTTTAATGCAACACACATTTGGGCAAAGAGCAAGCTGAAGAGAATACCTGAAAAAATTGTGGCAAATACCATTTGGATTTAATTATCCTTTGCTAGACTAATTTCTGTAAACAGGAAGCAGTCCAAGAACCCCATGGTTTATACTTCACCTAGAATTTCAGTACTTCTGCCAACAACTTTTCTGGTTGTGGAATCACAACATTCACTCCTTTTCAGAAGGGATTTTTAAAAAATACATTATATTGACTTTGACTTCAAAATAATACTGTAATTACTACTGAAGTAAGCAGTGATTCTCTCAAAGGAACTATGAGCTGGCTGTCAAGACAAGGATGTGTTTATCTCACTGTTTCATATTATGCTCAGTTGCTCAGATGATCACAATGACAGTCATAACAGAGAAAATTAGGGCAGTTGTGAGCCACTGTACAAGTGTTATCTTAAATCTGTTATATTATTGTGTCACTAAAAGAGTCAATATGAAATAGCAGGCCAGTAGACCAGGTCCCAATAGGACCATTACAGTTTTGGGAAATAGGCTACGAGGTGATCGTATCACAAAAAAAGTCGTATGGACCTGATCTTGGTCATACTTATGCTGTTAACACTATTAAAAATTACTGTCATTCTGCACTACTCACAGCAACGACAGGCAAATTGTGCAACAGTCAGTGGTAGAAAAAAATTCGAATTGTTCATTTTGTTTTTGGTAAAACAAAAAACCCAAAACACACAAGAAAATACTGACCCAGGTCACATATTTTTGGCTATTACCAAAATTACCAAGTCAGAAAGAATGTACAAAATGAACAGAAAGAAATGCAGAACTAAGCCCATGGAAAAATGCAGCCTCATCTTCCTCTCTGGTACATGCTTTTCTTCTCCAAATTCAAATCCAGCCAATTTGGGAATAATTATTAGTTTGAAGCTACGGGTCCAGCCTGTATTTCATGAAATCACACTCAAAGAACTCCAGGTGCCAGGAAATGCCCTTATGCTTACATTATCTGCAGTTACCTTCAGTGACAGGGAGTATAAGTAATTCATGATTTTTAAAATGACTGCAAATATCTGGCATCAGCAACAGTAATAAAATAAAATTGCATGCTTCCTAAAAGGTCATCAAGTGATATTTTTAGGTAAACATTTCATTGTTTCTCACTTGCTCATTGCCACTTCACCATGAAAGGTATTAAGTAAAAAACTGAGAGATCAAGTCTATACCTATGAACAAGCGTATTCTTCAGACCGCGGATTAGATGTCGTGCAATAGTTTTCACTCGAGGCGTGAGAATTGCTTGAGAAACGTGAAAAGTTCCATAACGACTTCGTTCCTCGAGAGTGGTCTCCAGGAACTGTAAGAGTTTGTGCACGTTGGTTGTGTTTGCCCATGGTGCGGGCATTTTACTCCCTGGCCACAGGAAGGGGTATTCCCGGTAGAGAGGGTAGTGGTAGAAAATGAGAACCTAAGATAACACAGGAAAAGCAGAAGAGATAAATAAAGAACTACTTCATTGCTGTTTTCTTAAAACAGGATCTCGCACTGGTTTACATTTGTGCGTTCATGCCGGGTTAGCATAGCAGTGAACAGAGGACCAAGCCAAAAGAAGCTGCTCCCAAGTCATGACTATCAGTAAATTTAATTGCACTATTACCAAGGAGAGGGAAATCATTTTGATTAGCTATGAGGACAAGATTGCTGCACACTTCAAGGGTCATCAGTCTGAAATGATAAAGTTGCCAGAAGCACATTCAAGTGTCATTCAAAGGATTCAGCTTCAAAGCATTTCAAAGCATTGCCAGAGAACATAATCATTTGTATTTGAAGGTAAGTATTTTAGCTAGCTCATCATTTTCTACATAACTCCTATTAAGTGACTAAAGCATGCTAGGCTGATTGGCATAGTGGCATCCCACTTGCATTTACCGAATGGAATGCCAAAGCCAATCTTGCTGTCAGTAAGCCTTCTCTAAGTCAGAAGCCATCATTTTATGCCTTGTAATGTGGTTCCTCGTAAGAGAGGAGCACATAAAGATGTAATACTTTTTAAAATCCCAAAACTTACAATTAATTCTTTTCTGGACCCCAGTAAAATTGGGGCAAAGCACTGACAGCAAAAGTTCAGAGTAATTTCTCCTAATTTTACTTATCTTATAGTTTAAGAATTATATGCAGTCACTGAAACTCTGTTCTCTCACTTTATGCACATGCATGCAAGCGGTTACCATGGACAAAAAGTGCATTTAATCCTGCCACTACAAGGCTTGGATAGCGACATAGGAGCTAACAAGTATCAGCTCTTAATCACAATACAGCTTATATGCTTCACACAGGCCAAAATGACAGAATTTATCACACCCTCACCAATACAAGTGAGCACAATGTGCTCTTCCGGAAAGAAAACACTTTGTAATAGGCACAGGCCCTGTGTATAGTATAATTTAAGGAACATGCTTGGGAATAGGGCACAATCCAGCCACACCATGGGTGAAGGGACTACATAGTTGCAAGTTCACAGAAAGAAGCATGCACACTATGTAAAGTAGTCCCTAGTAGGCTTGAAATTACTGGATGTGGAAATCAGTCATGCCTAGGGCTAATGCCTTTAAGTGGGAATCACACTCAGCCTTTCTATTTAGATTCTTAACCTGTGGGTTTTCGAGAACATTACACATCCTTTCCCCACCTGGTGCTTCTTCTCCCACATGTACTGTAACGTCACATGTTCTACACATGCAACGGAACAAAGTTTGGATCCAAATGCTGAGCGGATCCTGTTGATCAAGTAAAAGTGATGGCTGTCGTCCATGGCGTAGAAGTGATTGAAGTCCAAGAAGATGACTTCCTTGGGGTGTTGTCCAAGGAAAGTGTTCATTTCCATCAGCCCATCCCATACTTTGATGCCAAACAAGCCATGTATGAAGTAAATCTCCTGCCGCCCTATTTCTCCAGGCTTCGAAGACACACGAAGATCAAAGTAGCGAATCCCACCTTCCAGCTGCTCTTTGAAAGTCAGGTTTTGAGTCACCGACCACTTCTTCATTATCTTTTTAACCAAAGAAATTCTAGCCAAACGTTTGATGGCTGTGGCTTGGTCTGGTCCCACAGGAGATTTCTCATCAACCCAGTAGCTGAAAGAATCATGTGACCCTAGAAAAAAAAAACTATTTAGTTTTAGAAAAACAATGCTCCTCCTCCCCCCCACATGCTCTATAAGACAAAAAAAAAAAAAAGAGTCTTATATGCTTGGCAGGAACTCAGAAGAGCTGTGTTCAACTCTTGGGTCTTTCAGGATATTCTTTTATACCTTAATTTTCCCTAACTGTACAACAAAAACAACGCTTAAAGGTCTTCAGCGTTTGAACTGTTTTCCCATGTGAACTCCCACCATCAATGCACTCCGAAAATCAAAACCGCAAGACAAATAGCAGAAGCAAAGGGAATCTTCCTCCCAACCTCCCTTCTCCATTACAGTCAAGCTACCTCCAAAGCTTTCCCAGGCTCTAGTGGATCACTGTTTTGAGGGACTCCAACTCCGTTGGATCAAAGAACCTGGGGCTTTATTTCCATTCTATGGGGTAAATCCAATCGTAACCTAACACACCAGAGATCTTGGAACAGATATCTTTAGTCATGTGATGGACAACTTTGCCAGAAGGATATGTATATACACGTGCATCACTAGTATGCCTCACTTTAACCCCAAGATGGTAAATAAATAGTAGTTTCAACAGTGGCCAGGGACTGACTGAACTGAAAAGTGGTACAATTATGTACAAGTTAAGATCAGGTACTGTGCAGATAGACTAGTGTAAAGCTCACTTCAAACAAGCTCCTGAACATGCCTTTCATCTGGCAGTGTCTTGTGGTGACTGCAGATATGGTGAATATAAAATTCACCAGAAAGGAAGACCAATAACTGAAACAACCAGTTCCTTGCCAGAACACTCAAGTGTGCCAGACAGAAAACTCATTTAACACAACATGAACCTTGGCAGAGAAACCGCATCTCCAACAGAAAATTCATGCTTACTAGAAAAACCCATCCAACTCAAAATTCAGTGGTGATTTAAAAAAAAAAAAAAGCTGAGAAATAACCAAAAACCTCCAAAATAACAGCAGCCAAGAAATATCCATAGCTGAATCAAGTCAATGACAGTGAAGAGGAACAGAGTAGTATATCTCAGTATGTGCTGTAGCAGCCTAAAGCAAAAATAGATGGACAGAAGCCGATCTACCACAGACTGAAGTTCTCCTGGGATCTCTAACCATTTACACCAGGCAGCAGTATTTTGGCTAAGAAGCTGTAACTGTCTCCAGGTGCAACTTCTCTGTGAAGCCCTGACAAGGAAAAATACCACAGGAGCTCCAACACTCCTGCTTCCCTTTATCTTCAGGATAGCAGATGACAGCTACCTCACAGAGCGAAAACCCACCTGCTTTCTGTATGTCCACTTTGCTGAAATACAGGGAGAGATCTTCACTCCCTGCCTACCATTAGCAGCTCCTTTTCCAAATGCCTCTAAACTAGTGTGATACTATAACCTGCTGCCTGTGCTTATACTTCCCCTTCCTTTATCCCATGGATTCTTGTCCCTGTTACTTTGACTACACCCACTCTGCCAAAATTTCCTTCTCTCTACCTTGGTTTGTGACTCCTAATGGGAGTTCTCTAGATTTTAAAGATAAAGTTGCTATCTCTGTAGCCTCTTTTACCTGAATCTTTTATCTGTATATGAGTGTTCACTTGAAAACTGATGTTTCCTGCCATGCAAGGTCAGGACTGTAAATGAGATTATGATCTCAATTGGATTATTTTGTCAGCATTTTCTAATCCAGATGGAAGAACAGACTGCGCAAAAACCAAACATCAGTTTACAACCTCAAACGCACTTTCCTGTGAATTTTGACTAATTCACAAGTAGTGAAAAGGAACTGTGAACATTTAGTTTTCTAGGCTTTACAAAAGAATAAAACTAGTTCTAATCAAGTGTTCATTTATTAAGTTTTCACAGTCTTTTCATTAAGTCACAAAGAAAAAAAAAAGAGTGATATGTAACAAAAAAGCTCCTTTTAAAAGCTGTCACTTAAGAAGCTATTTAGCGACCTGTTACAGGAAACTACATCAAGAAGTAGCTGCCAGTTTTGGAGTAGCACCTCCTTTTTTCCTCCAAATGCATAATCCAGAACAGAAACCATACCACTAATAAGGGATCAAACATCTAATGAAGACATTTCAAAAGAAACCAAATAATGCTCTGCTTATACTGTAAACTGCAACTCTTGTGGATGCATGGCTTTTCATAAACCTCCCTTACAGCAGAATGAGCCTTTCAAACGTCTACAATATCTGGAAAGCAGACTTCATTTGCAAGGAGCTTTTCTTATCCCTCTGAACAAGTCATTTTATATAAGGAAGAAAATTTTAAAAATTTAAATGAATACTTGTTTTCAAATCTATCCATTTTAATTTCTTCCTCTACCTAACTCTGTGTAGAATTTATGCTAGAATAAAGCCATAAAAAATATGTTTTGTTTTAACTAAGACTGTGCTTAACTTAACTAAGACTTGTGTTTAAGTAAGAACTCTATCTACAGCCATTACTAATACCATTATCCCCCCTTCAGACAGTATCACTGTATGATAAGTCTGATTTATGAAGGAATGGAATGACAATTTTATCTGGCATCAAATACATTGTTACTAACCCTTATGAAGCTCTGAACAAATCCAAGCCAAGAAACAGCTTAGTTTCATAAGTCTGATCACATACTTTACAGCTACAAAAGCCTCTTCCCATTGCAGATTGTCACACACAAGGCTTATTTAAGGATACAAAGAGCAAATTTCTCCTTACGCTATCACAGAACAACCTAATTCTATTTACAGCTGAAGAAAACAACAAGGTAATAAAACAAGCCACATGCACACTGACTTGTTCAACACATACTTTAAAAACTCAGCTTCTTGGCAGGGTAGCTATTTGAGAAACAGAACTACATGGAACATTCTTCTAGTTGGACGAGATCGTTAAACTCCTGCATGGTTGCTCTACATTTAAAAAAAAAGAAAAAATCTAGGCAAATGGACTTCTCATTTACAATGAGGTCAACAAGGATACTTAGATGTAACCAAGCAGAACACGAGCTGAAGCATTTAAAGTGAGCTGTCCTCTTCGCAATTGGTAGAAAGCCACCTCCTAAAAAGCAAGGGGGAAGCATCATCAATATTGAGGCTGGAAAAGCATGGCAGAAATTCAAACAGATTCTCCAGTGGTCACTAATAAAAGGCTAACCACCAACCATACAGAATATCTAGGCCCAAATTGGATCTGGAAAATTTTTACTCCAGTAAGAAAAGCAAACTGAACACCTGAAGCAATAGCACTGGAGACTTGTGGGGAAGTGAGGTAAGAGCAAGGTGCCTCTTTAATCAGGCCCCTCCTTAAGATTGCTGTGTTATGCTGCAAGCTCAGCCGCTGGCTTTTAATATAGCTTAGCTGTAATGTTAAGCTACATGCTAAGCTCATCTCATCATGATGCCAAAATAATCCCTTCTCCTCCTGTTTACCTCCCCCTCACCCTCCCCAATCCCATGGCAGATCCAGCCATTCTGTAGCCACAGCACGAGTCAGGCTAGCTCCTGATCTAGTATTATTTCATTTTGAAGGAGTGTAATCTAAACCAAACCCTGTACAATTTCCAAGGCAAAATTTTTGCAAGAGCCATCACCAGAAGAATGGAACAGGCTAGCCTCATTTTGTTAGCAGCTCAATGTCAGAGCCACCATACCCTCAATTAAGGGCTAATACAAGGATGTGTGAAGACAGTCAGGTACTGTAGTTGTGCACAGCAACAGCGAAGGGGCTGGCAGCTGCTGAACAGAGCAAGAATTGCAATACTCATTGGGACATACACAAGAAAGTCCTTCATGATCCCTCCATCGTCCCCCAGATTGTCTCTCTCTCCAAATTGTACTAATCATTTTTGTCAAGAAAGTTGAAGCACCTTAAAAAGTTACATCAGCAAAACATTTGAGATTATAGCCAACAACTTAATTGTAAATTATAACTCGCACTGATTTAATAAATCCATTCCTTAAATCCTGTTGCTTGTGAACCACACAGTTAAACCTGGGTATTTGCAAGCTCCATCTAACAGATTAAAAAAGGCACAAAAAAGTCAAGAAACTTGCCTACTGCTGTCCTTGAGGCAAACAGAGTCTAGCAGTCCATTCTGAATTGCCTCAAGGGCATGTTCTTGCCTATGCAGCACACTAGACAGGGACTCGTCTTGAGTCGCTATATAATGACAGCAGATTAACATTCAGACTACAATCCTTACGCAACTTCCTCGGTGACACAACAGCAATCTGCTGCCCACATCTTTCCAATACCAAGCTATACACAGGACAAAACAAAGGGACAATGAATTCAAACAGCTTCCAACAGGCCAGAGACGCAGAGCTCAGGGAAGCAAGCTTGTTGTTATCCAATACATGAAATTACGTGAAATTTAACCATGAAAGAACCTGCACTTTCAAAAGAAAAAATAAGGGCGTTGCAAATCAGCTGGAAACTCTCATATTAAGAGTTACAGGCAATGGCTGCTCTACTTTGGTTTCATGTGACAAACACTGGAAGCTTCCAGGAAAGCAGCACCACCTCAGTGAATGCCCAGATAGTTAGCTATCAAACGCTATGACACACTCAGAATGGTATTAAGCAGGTATCTGTCAGACACCAGCTGCTTAAAAAACAAACAGCTGTCAACGTTATCCCAGCAAGTACAACAGTGGATTCATTTTTATTCACATCTTCAAACCCTTTTTCTCCCCCCTACACTGATTTATCAAGTTAATTATATGTTAAATATATTGCTTTCAATGCAATTTATATGTTAAATAGATTGTATTTCAGTGTCCAGGATGACTTTTTTGTTGAAGCCTTTGCTACTTTCTTAGCAAACAAATTATCCTTTTATCATCGCATCTGCAGCAAAATCCAACTTTCCAATATGTATAATCTGTCATGCTATTTAGTCACAGACACTCAAATTAACCCATGGTGTAGCTCAAACAAATGCCATTAGTCAACAGAACGTTATTAAGCCTTGAGTTTCAACAATTGCTGGCTACGTTGCTTTGTATT